TAACCCCTGGATCCCTCTATTCCCCTTGTGTTCTCATTTGGCAGAATTATTTCCGAGATGCCTGGAATGTCTTTGATTTTGTAACAGTGTTGGGAAGTATTACTGATATTTTAGTAACAGAGATTGCGGTAAGTACAGTTTGCTCGATTTATTTCATTTCTAAACAAAGCCGTGCCCTGTCGAGACACTGAACCTTCTCCCTTAGCAGCCTCATTCCCTGGAGCTGCYTCTGGGAGTCACGATGGCCTTGGCTGACCTGGCAGCCTGCTCCATGAGCGCTGCGTTCCCGTGGAGCTGGGCACAGCTGTGTGCCCCAGAGAGGAAAAGCTCTGCTGAGAGCCACAGCGCTCGTGACTCTGCCAGGGAGCAGCTCCCTCTCTCCTGCAACAAACCACTCTGTCCCCAGGCCTTTTCTGCCTAGGAATGGAAAAATCCTGTGCAATTTAAGGGAGAGGAAAGAGCAGTGGGATTCTGCTGTGTTAATGGGGGAGGGGTTTTGCAGGGTCTGGCCCTTGGRGCTCCTGCCCAGTCTGGGTCACGGGGCAGGGGGAGGGTGATGGAAACAGTGGCAAGAGGTGAAGAATCTGGACTGGGAGAATGTTCCTGTCACTAAACCCTGTGGGGCAATGAATAGATAGCTTTCCTATAGGATTTCTGGCCAGCCCTACAAGGGCTCTGCCTCCCTGTTGATGAGCCCTGTAGATCCCACAAAGAGCACAGATTTGTCATCAGATCTGACGGATTTTTCCACAAGGGCAGCAAATGTCTGTCTGAACCCTTGACAGTTGATATTGGCCCATGTATAAACTGCTCCTCTCCTCTCCCAGTGCATGCAGTAGCTGATGATGTATCGGTTGTGATCAATCTGAACCTGACCATGACTTTTCCTCCTCAGTCCCAGGGATTTGCCTGTAGATGTTTTGAGTGTGCTAAGAGCTGTGCTCCCCACGTTCCTTTGCAGGTGGTGGTGAAGACCATGTGACTGTTYCTAACAAAATACGCTTTCATTTAACCTCCTTGGTACAAAAAAARCCCACAACCCCTAAAGTTTTCCTCCCCACACAAATGTTGGTTTAACKCCTGGTGAATCCTGTGTTGTAGGTTTGGATTTTGTTTACAGTGCAGCCAAGGTGAAGTTTCTGCTGTGGGAAGGCACTGGGTGCTTTTCCCCCCTCCCTCTGCCGTGGGATGCATTTTCTTGCCCAGGGCACTCAAACTTTTGCCATGGTTTGAAAATTGGTGAAAATATTTTCAAAGTTAGCCATAAACAAACTGAAGCTTCTCCACCCCGCCTTGGGCCACTTTTCCTGGGAAGAAGCAGCACTGACAGCTCACAGGGGGTAAGGGAGCYTCTGATCTCCCCCAGATTGGTGTCTTCTCCTTCAGGAAGGTTTCTGCTCCTCAACACCAAGCCCTCATGATGCTAAAATGCTCATTTTTGGAGCTGTTTTGCAGGCAGGGAGCAGCTCCAGTGTTGCCCCTTCTCTGCTCAGTTAATGGGACATTGCCACTTCCTCCAGCTCCCACAGGATGGCCCAGCCTGGAATTGGCCATGGACTGATCAGGTTGGGCTGGAGACATTTCCAGCCCCAAAACMATTGCAGATTAGTGTGAATTGCCCCTAAAACTCCAGCAGGGTCAAGCTCCCAAGCCCCGACGTGCCTTTTCCTTCTCCCAGGTGGGAGAGGTTTTTATTTTATGGGGATCTGTTCAGTCCTCGGAGAGAATTTTCTAAAGGAGATACCCAAATTCCCCTGGCAGTGTCTCCAGTGTGGAGCTGACCACAAACATCTCTCCTGTAAAARCCAGATGTCCCCAGGACCACTCCAGCCCTGAGCTCTGGGTCCTCTGGCCGTGTCTGAATATTCCCCTTCTGCAGTTCCCACGTGGGCATTGGACTCTTCTCCCACGTGAGAAGCAGCAAGGCAAGAGGAAACAGCCTCAGGTTGCTCTAGAGGAAATTTAGAGGAGAAATTAGGAGYAATTGTTTCATGGCCAGGCACTGGAAGAGGCATTTCAAAGCTGTGTGGATGTGGCACTTGGGGACAGGGTTTAATGTGGCCTTGGCAGTGTTGGGGGAATGGTTGGACTCAATGATCTTGGAGATCTTCTCCAACCTGAAYGATTCTCTGGTTTCTGTGTAGCCACCACATCTTCTTCCCTGCTTTTCCCTTCAGACAGAGAGTTTCAGGGGTCTCTCCTGCCCCTTTYCTTTCTAGATTTGGTTTTCAGCCCTTTTTTCATCCAGCTCCCACCTGATCTGTGCCCAGCAGCGCTCCCACCCCACAGGGCAGCCAGCAGCACACACATCCATGTCAGCCTCACTCAGGAACCGTGGACAGGGACCAAAGGCATYGTGCACAGTCCTGAGCAGCCCAGTTTGCTGAAGGAGACAGTGGTGCCCAGATCTGAGCATCATCTGGCACTGAGTGTTGGCAGGAGTGCCCCCAAGATCACACTGATAACAGGATTGATAACAGGAGTGATAACAGGAGTGAGAACAGGACTGAGAACAGGAGTGAGAACAGGACTGAGAACAGGACTGAGAACAGGAGTGATAACAGGAGTGATAACAGGAGTGAGAACAGGAGTGAGAACAGGATTGAGAACAGGATTGAGAACAGAACCAAGAATAGGACTGATAACAGGATTGAGAACAGGACTGATAAAAGGATTGATAACAGGATTGAGAACAGTATTGATAACTGTATTGATAACAAGATTGATATCAGAATTGAGAACAGGATTGAGAACAGATTGAGAATAGGACTGATAACAGGATTGAGAACAGGACTGATAAAAGGATTGAGAACAAGATTGATATCAGAATTGAGAACAGGATTGATAATGACAGCTCTCAGGATGCCCTCATGGAATTCATTCCACTTCAGCCAGGGCCCTGTGGTGGATGTGGCCTTGTACCAAGCCCTGCACTGCCACTGCCACCTTCCTGCCCTCCAGACTGGGTTGGACTGGGCTTGGACAACCTGGGATGGTGGAAGATGTGTCTGCCTGTGGCAGGGGGTGAAAGGAGATGAGCTTTAAGATCCCCCATAGCCCAAAATCATCCCATGATTTTATGATTCTCCCCTTCCAGTCCTGAGRATGGAAGAGAAGCATAAGGTTGCAGCCCTCTGCTCCTGCCCTATGGGAACCCTTTGCTCCTGCCCTATGGGGTTGGCTCCATGAGAGGCTGCACATGGGGTTATCCTGACCCCACAGAGCACTGAGGGGGACACCAGGGCTCCCAAATCTGCCTGGCAAGGCCATGATTGCTTTGCTGCCTGCAAAGTGACACCGTGCCTGTTTGTCCTGGCAGAGTCACACTTTAAACCAGCTTTGGGATATTTTGTCAAACCCAAATTTCACCTAATTGAAATACTCCTGGTGTTTAGATCCAATGTAGGGAAATCAACCAATAGATCAAATTTGATCCAGTTTTGAACCAACTGTTYCAAAACAGAGCCAATTTTACAAAAAAATGTGGGGAAAAAAAAAGGTCTGCAAAAGCTGACGCAGCAGTGTGAACATGCAGGGATGGAGGTGAGGAYCTGGGGGTGCCTCATTCCCAGAGCACAGCCCARGCGTGGCCTCTCCTTCCCTTTGGAATTCCAGAGAGGGCAGAGCAGGAAATGATGATGGGGAGGTGTTGAACCAAGCCCACCTCACCTTCCCAGGGCACAGCCGGGGTGCAGGAGCTCTCGTGGAGCAGGGAATGACTGGAGAGGAGAGCAGGGCTTGGGTCATCCCATCTGATCCAGGGTTGGATCATCCCAATCCAGGGTTTGGGTCATCCCACCCAGACCCAGAGTTTGGATCATCCCACCCAGACCCAGAGTTTGGATCATCCCACCCAGACCCAGAGTTTGGGTCATCCCAATCCAGAGTTTGGGTCATCCCATCCCAATCCAGAGCTTGGGTCATCCCACCCTGATCCAGAGTTTGGATCATCCCACCCTGATCCAGAGTTTGGATCATCCCACGCAGACCCAGAGTTTGGGTCATCCCACTCAGAGCTGTGTACCCAACAGGGAATGACCCTTTTTCCCCGTCCCTCCTCATCTCCAGCCTCCCCTCAGCTGATGGGGACAGTTTGGGGCAGACCCTTTAATCCTTCCCTGTGTATCCAACCCTCCTGTTGGCCATTCCAGTGGAATTTKCTCAGCTGGGAAGTCCAGGTGACAGCCACAATGTGACCTCGACTGCCACTCCGCAGCTGCCCCTGTCCCAGCCACCCTCCAGGTCCCCACGGAGAAATTTTTTTAGGTGGGACAAACCCAAAATCTCAACTAAGATATGTAAATCCTGCCATGAAAAGTAGCAGGAACCAGATTCCCTGGGGAATTTAGTGCCAAAGTGCAGATTTATTCCAAAAATGCCTTTAGAAATATTGACCTCSTATTGAAAATCATCAATKAAACAAAMGAGAWWCCACAAAGAAAAATGCAGTCCACAAATAGCTGCCAGAGCASCATTTTCCTCCATATTTTCCAGCTAGAAGTGTTCTCCTCCAAAGGTAAATAATCCTGCTCACCTGGGTGGCCTCACCTTGAGAGGCTTGGCTTCCACCAGCCTTTTTCAGTACCTTGAACCCACTGAGATGTAARGACAAATGAAATGTGTGGATTAATTAATTGTTTTAATTTTCCTGGTCACGTCACATTTTGTAATTGACTTTGTAATTGTAGTGGAATATATAATTTTTTTTTATTTCCTCGGGCAAAAGCATGCATGTCAGTTTTTAATTCTTAATAATGGAAGGAAAAGAGGTGGGATGAAGGAGAAGGTGTCCTCGGAGGCACAGTCGGCCTCAGGAGGCCTGGTGGGTGTTTGGGCAAACTGACATCAATTTCTATGCCTGGAAATAYAAAAAACCCTCCTGAGAAGTGTTTGTGAATTGTCTCCAAATTTGCATTACGAGCTGAAATGCAAATAAYGACTGCACCGTCTGTGTTACCTCGAGGATCTCCGAATCGCTCTCGGTTCGAAGCATTTTTATTTCGGGAATTACCATAAAATAACACCTCTCCCCCCCACCCCGATAGCCCTACAGTTTTTTTTCCCAGTGAAATTTTTCAGAGTTTCCTTTTTGCTTGTCCTGATTACTCATTTTCTCTTTTGTTTCCTGTTTTTGTTCCTTATTTTCCTTATCTACCTGCTGAATCACGCCATCCAATCAACATACAATGCGAAAACCATGTCTCCGTCTGTATGTTGTGCACCTGCTGCTCAAAAAAAAATATAACAATTTGTAAATAATCTTGCAAAAAATCCATCCATGACAACATCACATATAGGACACGGTTGGTTTCATTGAATTTAAACAATTCTTTAAATTCTCTGCTTTGATTTTTCTCTCGTTTTCCTTTAATTTGATCCGGTTTTTTGTTTGTTTCTGTTTGRAATTTTTTTTTTTGGATGAGAGTTCCGATTGCACTGGTGGAAAAGCCTCACTGCAGCGTGGCCCAGAGTGGCTTCTGTCCTGCACCTGCACCTGCACCTGCCTGGGCTCATTGGTGACGTGAGCAGTTGCCAATAGCCCGTCCCCTGCTCCCTGTGCCACCCCCCGTGCCAAAGGGGACACTGCCACTTGCTTTATTTCTGTGGGAAATGGGAGGAGATGAGGGAAGGATGCTTCTGGAAATCCTTGGATTTGGGCGTGATGGTACCAAATTCAGCTCTCCAAAGGCAGGTTTGGGTTCTTTGAGGAGGAGATGATGGAGCTTTGTGCTGAAGGAAGCACTTTGCAGCCTTACACGTTTTAACCTCTGTGTTGTAAGGCAAAAATATTATTGGGATGATGATGGGCTTGCTTCCCTCAAATCAGAAATGRTGGAAAAAACAATCTTCACTCAATTTTCAAAATCCTCTGTGACACCAACTTTTTGCCACCACAGAGGCCACGGAGTCACTGAATGCAAACCCAAAACTGAAATCTGTAAATCCTGCYGTGACCAGAGCTGAAAAGTACCAGGAACCAGACCCCACTGGGAATTTAGTGCCAAAGTGCAGATTTATTCCAAAAATGCCTTTGGAAATATTGACCTCGGCCTTTGAAAATCATCAATTAAACAAAAAGAGAATCCACAAAGAAAAATGCAATCTGAAATATATATATATATTTAATTATCTTGGCAATAACTGATTACACAAATAATACCAGAAGCTTATCAAAAATCCTTGCTCAGCCACCTGCCAGCAGCTCTTGGATCCATGAATGTCCACATTTCCTGTTGCACAGTTGCTGTTGAGAAAGAAATCAGGGTGAGTTTTCATTTCCAGGCTGCAGAAGCTCCATGGGTGTTCATGAAGGGGGGAATATTCTGCTGGGATACAGCAGAGGRAATGTCTGTGTGAAAGTTCAAAGTTTGTCCGGTGCAAGCCAAGAAGGGAATTCTCCACGGTGCTGAATCCATTCCAGATGTGTGGGAGCAGTCAGGATAAATTTGGAGATGTCAGCTGCACACCTGGCCCAGGCAGCACAGAGAAAGGCTCTGATATCAGCTGTGAACATTAAAATATACCGGGGAAAATTAGTTGGCTGAATTTTGGCTGCTGTCCCTGTTTCAGGTTAAARATTGAAAAGCTCATCCTGCCCTTTGTTAGGATGGGAGTCGTTATTCCATAGGGAGAGGGCCAGGCTCCTTCCATCCCTTGGGGTCATTGGAGCTCCACAGTGTCCAAAGGAGCTGCTGCTGATGAGGGACTGAGCTGGAGCAGGAAAACTGAAGGGAACCCTGGGGAGGAGGAGACTGAGCTCAGAGCTCCCCGGAGCTGCAGCTCCGATCTCTGCTCTGGGACAGGGACAGGAGCCAGGGAACGGCTGGAGCTGGGCCAGGGCAGGCTCAGGCTGGAGAGCAGGGAAAGGTTCTTGTGTCCCCAGAGGGTGCTGGCACTGCCCAGGCTCCCCAGGGAATGGTCCCGGCCCCGAGGCTGCCAGAGCTCCAGGAGCGTTTGGACAGCGCTGCCAGGGATGGACAGGGTGGGGCTGTTGGGG